GTAGGTCTCTCGATTAGCCCTCAGCCAAACAAAATTGCGAATCTAACCTAAACTAGGACCCGACCGAGGCGAGGCCCACGGTTCACCCTCGGCCTACTGTACAGTCCAATGAGAAACTGCAGGTTTCATTACATACTTACCCCCCCTGGGGAGAGCGGACCTCCGCGCCCATACTTCACTTTCTGGTAATGATCCAGCAGATGAAGGGGGTTGTGGAGATAACACTCTTGCCTGAAGAGGAAAACCTGAGATACTCACGGGGTAACCTATGCCCCTGATCTGTGCTGTAGCAGCAAGGTCAGGAGGAGGCAATCTCAAAGTGTCAGTTGGTCTCGATTGCACCAAGAACCACGGATAACCTGGTTTCTTGACTATTACGCAATCGACCACTTCTGAAAAGTTGAGATCCGCGACCGACACCCTATTGCTGCAATACAGTTCCTATACTCATGACCTCCACAGTAAATTGTGATGCTAGTAGAAGGGAAACTCTAAATTGCTGGCTATAGTCGTCGGACCGGGTGTGTACCCCTTAGTAGACATAAACCGGATGCAAGTCAGTCAGTAGAACTGAAGGACTGCAATAAGAGATTACGAGTAGAACAAGCAATCTCACCACGTGAAATATGACTAATTATCATCCAGGCTGGCAACAATAGACGTGTCGGTGCTCAACTTATCGAACAGATAAGGAGCCCGGGCAGGATGTTGAAAGCCTGGGACAATAACACTCGCCGCACAATGTCAGGAAAAGGGGAAGATTGCTAACTAGCAGCTAACCCTGATCAGGACATTGAGTGTCGCCAGAATTTGCACCTCCAAATACTGACACTACAACTCCCATAAGAACGAGAGACAGTGAAGATTCAGGATGTGAATCAGCACAGGTGGAGGAATTGCGGTTTCCACCTCTCTCATGGATCAGGGATAGGGTAGGGTGAGTTCAGATTTGGTTTCCCTCTTGTCCCTTCAGCTGAAGGAAAGGGAGCAATCATCTGAGCCTCATGCTCCTCTAGTCCCTGATCCGGGTCAGGATCCTCATCCTGGGCCTGGCATGCAAGGGCAGTCCTTCAGGAAGTGTTGTCCCTCACATCTCAGGCAGACCCCTCTCTCCTCTCTTCTTCTCCAGACTCCCTCCTGGATCTTGAGGTCATGCCAGGGGAGTGTGGAGGGATTGAGAGGGTCAGTTGGCATACGAACATCTTTAGGCAGATTAGAGCGCTGGGAAGAGGAAGGCCGACGTCCCTTTTCCTTCCCCTTGGCACTGGCTGAGGCTGTGGTGGGGGAAAACTTTTTCTGCTGCTGCAGAACTCCCAAAACAGCCTGAGTTAGGGCTGCTGCAACATCTGTCTCAGCAGCATATCCAGTCCCAGCTGAAGGTGCATCAGCCTGGGAATCTAAATCTGATCCTGAGGCAGACCCCGCATGAGTGAAGGCTGCCTTTCCCTTTCTGCCACCTCTAAAGAAGGCACCTTTCCTCCTGTCAGAGGATGGGGCCTGGACATGAAGCTTTGCCTCCATGTCCAGGGCTGCACGACCAAAGGACCTCCAGTCCTTGTGCCCAGCGCTGTACAAAGCAACAACAAACTTCTCAGGCGCTACCCTGCAGAAGTTGGTCAGCAGATCATCTGTGGACATGACCAACCCAGGGGTGGAGGTGAGTTGCTCGAACACAGCAAACAAGGCCTGCAGGGTGCCACTATACCGCTGCTGTCCCAGGCGAGCAATCTTGTCAGCAGCCTTGCGGGCCCTCTCCTTGTCTGCAAACCGGTCCTCCAGGGCCTGCAGAAGTTTGTCCACCCCAAGCCCAAAAGCCCAGTTCTCCATAGACTGCTGCAGACTGCTGGAGGTAGAAGTGGTCCACTTTAGTGTAGGTCCCTCCAGCAGTCCCAGAACAGTCGCCACCTTGGTCTGTTCTGCACAGACAAAGCCCCTCAAGTAGGCTTTGGTCCTAGCAGCCCAGTCCCCAACATCAGTCTTGGGGTCATCGCCCCTGAACTTGTTGGGAGCAGGGATCTTGGGACCTCTTTGGTCTCCTGCAGTAACAGCAGCATAGGTGGCCTTTCCTGAGGCCTTTTGGGAATGAGATGGTGACGGGGAAGAATGTACTGAACCAGGGGGAGTGGAAGGACAAGAGGAATGAGGAGAAGGTTTGGGTTTCAGCAAGGGGAGCTGAGGGCCAATCAGCTTGGCGGCTGACAGCTGAGCAGTCAAGTTCTAAATTGCATCCAGAATCTTTGACTGCTGAGCTGCCAGGTCATCAACCCGACGCTCCAAACGCTCAAAACGGTTGTCCCAGTTCGTGAACTGGGAACTAGTGATCTTATGCTCCAGGATGACCATCTCAACTAGGTGTTTGGTCACTTGAGCACAACGGTCATCTGTGAGTGGCTTGTCTAGCTGCTGTAACAGATATTCCCTTCTGGAATGATCTGTTGCAGCCTCTAGCTCAGCTGACTCATGTCGTTCCAATTCTGCGAGGCGTTCCTATTGACGCCGCAGTTGCTCTTGCAACTCCCTCTTTTGCTACTGAGTAGCAGTCAGAGGTGGAGAAGGAGGAGTGGAGGTTGAAGGTTGTTGACCTTCCACCTTCATCACAACTTCCACCTGTGGCTGCTGCTGAGCCCCATGGTCAGACCTTTTCCTGTTTCAAAAATAAAATCAAAAACAAAATAAACAGCAGCCTGAGTGTGCAGCGATACTCAGATTCCTTCAGACACCCTGGAATCGCTGCAAAACTCAGACGCTGGAACAGGTGGGTGTATAGGCAGTCAACGGTTTGGGTTGGAAGGGTGTCTCTGGGGTCAGGTGTCAGACAGACTGTAAGTCCAACAAAATCATGCACACGATTTCCTTTTACTGACCCTGCACCACACTGGAGTTAGTAGAGTCACTCCACTACTCTTCCAGAGACACACTAGATTTCCAGTGCCCATTAGAAAGCAAGTGTAATCAGTGAGAATGATAGAACATGGTTAGTACAGACAAAGAGAGATCAACCACAACAAGCGATTCAGACAGAGACCCTGTATCCTAGCTCAGACTCAAATTTAGACCCTGATGACTCTGGCGGCCATACCCTGGGGTATGGCGAAGTACAGTTTTCACTGTATCCAGTGAAATACTGTAAATCCAACTCTGCGATTCTACAGTATCGTCTATTTTTGGATTGCGATTCACTGGGGACTGACAGAACGGAATTCTGACGGACAGAATTGAAGTTATGACTGACCCTAGGCAGCACAGGCTAAAAATAGACTCAGCGCAAAACTGCAATTCCCAGTATCACTACCTTTCCAGTGCAGAATTCACAGTTGAGCATCCCATAATAATCGCAATGCAGTATAGCAGTCACAAAACAATTTTGGATCAGAAAGAGTCAACAGAGGGTGAGAAATGAGCAGAGAGAGGTAGGGGAGAGATGGCTATGGCTGTCATGCAGTTTGCGATTTTCACATCCATTCACTGACAGACAGATAGATCATTACAATTAACTAAACTAATACTATCTGGATCGCTATGCAGGTCGGTGCATGGGACGGACTCACTTTCAGAGAATCTTGCAGGTGATGATGAAGATCTGGCTATGGCAGATAATACCCTTATCTCGCCAATTTCTTCCAGATAGTCCTCCTGACAATCCCACGCACAGAACTGCTCCAAATTTGTTGATCCTCCTCAGGATCCTGTAGCTGCACTCCCTCACTCCAGATACCCTGTATCTGGTCGTATGGCGCCTAGTATGCCAACACCAAAATATCTCGCCACAGTGCCTGGTAGCCGCTGATGCTAAAAATAGCCCCAGATGGGGTTATTTCTCCTGGAGATTGATACAGACTATCAATCTCTGCCAGCGCTACCCAGGGA